ATTTCATTTTGTGCTGTACTTGTTACTAATCATGTGGTTAACTTTGTGTACACCAGAACAAGTACACTGAATTGTTTAAAGCTAAAAAAAATCTAGACCATGAAAATAAACCAGGAGAATAAGCAATTAAAATAGCTGTCTTTTATTTTTGCATTACTAGATTTGTGGTAAGGTGTGTCATTCTAAACAGCAGCATACATTTCAGTATATAGAATTTTTAAAAGGTCAGGTGAATAAATTATCTCAATAACAGTCTGTACTCAATGTAACCCGTCCACTGACATTAGTAGCTTTACTTCCACTAGTAAGGGGATAGCAGTGACTTATACTTGGAAGCATAGCTTTTACTATTGAAGTGAAACCTCTAAACTCTTGACCTTAGGTTGATATTGCCATGTATAATGCATTACATACAGCTGTTGAAGTCAAATTGCCATTTTTAGGCCTGTGGTTTATAAAAGTAGTACATAGTGGGCTGAATTGCATGACAGCTGATATTTATCAAGGGCAATGTTCTCATTTTCACATTTTAAAGCAAGTTTTGAAAGCTTTGTGTCTGCACACATGTTCTGCATATGTATCTGAGCTTTGAACATTTGTTCTGAAGTGCATTCACTCTCATTAACACAAGGGTCCAAAGTATAAAACTTTAATAAGCTTCATACATCAAACTTGTGCATAACATTACTTTTATGTAATAGGACACTTAAAATTTAGTGTCCCTGGAAGAATGTGATAGGTTCAAAGCTTTCAAAATGTATCTGGCTTTAGAAGACTTTTTATAGTTGTTCAAAATACCGATATGAAAAAGTTTTGAAAGGTCCTTTTAATTGGCCTGTTTTGAAGCAGAAAAAATAAGGCTAATAAAAGGACTTGTACATAAAAATTCAGGCAGTGATTGGAAGCCAGTCCTCCTATTTAAACCAACTGAACAAAACAGAATTTAAATTAAATTCTAACTCTCAGTGTATGCAAATTGATTTTCAGTGTGATTAAGATCTTTAACTGGGTTGTGGGTTGGGCTGCCCTTCTTGATCTCTATTTTTACACTGTACAGTTTTGGGGTTAGCTGTTTCCTGTTACTGTGGTAACTCAATATATTGATATGCAGATCACACTGACTTGCAGCAAGGTAACAGAAGGCTCTAGGTGACTGGTGTAGATAAACACAATTGTGATCCTATCCAACTGTGTTAAAATGTGGCTCATGAATCAACAATAAGGTGCCATTGCTCCTTCTAAAAGAAGTCAGCAAGTGTTAATGTAAATGCCAAGAGCCTGCTTCAAAATATTTTTTGTTTAATAAGGTCTTTTATCATCTTCAGTGTGGCAGATGAGCAAACATGAAGGTGGTGGTGCATTTAAAGCCAGTGTTTTTCCAGGAGGGGAAATAAGTCCTCTGTGTTGGTTATTTCACCATCAAGTTTTCCATTTATAATCCAGATACCATAACAGAAATGTATTATGCATTAATAGAGTGTGTTGTGAAGGGAAGAAGGGAGAGCCTGTGGCTGAGGAACTAGCTCTTCTTAAGCCCTGGCTAGGCTAGAAGTAAAAGGAGCCTTCCCCTATTTTCTGGCATCTTTAAAATAAATAAATCTCCTCACAGTGGGAAGGAAAATAATATATTTGATCTGGAGCACAGCACTTTTAATATGACTTGTAAGATCAAAATCCAAAGAATGACACAACTTGGATTCCCAAAGGTTCTTTGGACTTCTGCATCTCAAACACAGCCCCCATGCCATAAAGCATCACTAGGTAACTTCCAGCCTGCAGGTGAGATCCAACTTGCCAACACCCCAGGAAAGTCCCTGCCTCCTCTCTGATGTCTTGTACTTTCCACAAAGAGAGGAAAGGGAAGTTCAGTCAGGATCTGTCATTTCAAGGGGTGTGTGGCATTTTTATACAACTGTTCCCAATGGAAAACATGTATGACATAATTACATCTTCATGTCATAACAGAATCACTGCAGCATAAACACTGTAATGACAAGATCACATGCATTTACCTAAATCTAGATAGCATATGGACATCAGTTTTTAAATAAATCAGTATAGAGAAGTGTCCAGTGTACTCTCTAGTCTGAGTTGTAGGATGATTTCCAATTCTTGCAACCCATGGATGTGGACACAATATCTAGAAAGGCGAGCTTGAATCATACCCTTCCCTATTTGGGAAGGTATCACCCACTGAGTCTACTAGGTATAACTAACCTGCAGGTGAAGGAAGTGGTTGTAAGAACACTCCTGAATAAAGCTTCCTAAGATCCAAAAAGTTCTACTGCAAATGTTTCTTTCCTGGGGCAATGTGTTGAAACAAACATTGCTGGCCAGCTCTAACAAATACTGGATGAAACGGATCAAAATCCATTTCAATTTAGATTCTGACTCAGATTTATGACTAAATACTTATATCGACCTCTAGTGGGTAAAGAAAAAGCTTGGGGGATGTGGGTACAAATCTGTTACTTCTGCTGCATGTCTTGGCAGCATGTAATGCTTTTCTGAACAGTTAACCTTTTCTGAATAGGCTATCAGGGCTAGGGATTGGTGATATTATCTAATTAAAGGATAAGCAAAATGACCCAAGCAGCTCCTGATACCACCCAAGATGACATCACAAATTGCCACCAGTTTCTGGTGGTTTGGCAGTGCCAGTAGCAAAGCATCCAAATTTTTCACTTTCCAAGACAGCATGTGAGCAGCATACTTGGTATGACTTCCAGGAGGGTGGCTGTGAATTAAAACAAAGTATATACTTTGCTTTGTAAGTCAATGTATGTCTTTTCTGACACTGTTAAAGCGGGTGGGACAGGCCCTCAGATCCTCTGAACTTGCCCATTCATTTCTATTTTCAAATATTTTATTGATAATTGGAGGGTGCTGCCAGAAAGTGGTACTGTGGAACATAATGTGAGCCTTGCAGCACTCACATTATGAGGTCTTTTAAATCTATTCTGTCTCCTGTATTGTTCAACACTTACCTGAAATCAGTAAATAAGGTTGGAAGATTTGGAGTTGGGTGCTGATAAAACCCAAAGAGAAAATGTATACTGGGGTTGTATAGCCAAAAGAACTTTAGCGTTTAATTCAGACATACAGGAAATACATGTAGCATGCAGGTAGCCCACAAGGGACTGCAATGAAATGGGCTGTACAAGCAGTTTTTATAATATCCTAGTCAAGTACATAGTTTGGAGGAAGGTAGAAGAGAGCATATAGACAGTTTGCAAGGAGGCAAACAGTGACAGTGGAAATGATGGATGAATTAAGATAAGGGGCAAAAGGTCAAGAGGTTTCAAGGCAGACATACTTTAGCTTATGGTGGGGAATGAAGACTAACAACATAGTTTCTTGATCAGATCAGGATGCTCAACTAAAACTGTTTTTGTCAGTTTCAGGCTTTCTGCTGGATCATTTAGTACTACCAGTGCCATCAGTATGCTGACGACACCCAGCTTGCCCTAAACAGGTCAGGAAAGATGTTCCTTCAGTGTTTATGAGCAATAATGAGCTGAATAAACGTCAATAAATTGAGTAGAATCATAATCCTGGGAAAAGGTACTGATTGTGGGCAATGTGCTTGTCTGGGAAGGTAGCAGTGAATCAGTTCTGGAATATTCCCTTAATAGATTAATACATGTGTGCGATGTATTAGTAATCACTTGGGAATGACAAAGTTAAAGCTCCAAATTATTTTGACCACCTCAATTAATTATGGTTGTCAAAGTTTGCAATATATGGGTCTGAATTCTTTGCTAGTTCCAATATAACTTAAAGCCAAACGCCCAAAACACTTAGCAAACTTTATGATTTGACTGGGCATATTCACTATTATCTCTGATCACAGTTATTACCTCTGATTTATAGGCAGTAATAAGTACAATCACACAACAGGAATTAATGACACTATCAATTTCAAAATTACATTAACACTTTTCTTCATTGATATACGTTTCTGTACTACCTAGCACATGGTAGAGGTAGCAACTCTTTCCCAAAGGCCATAGGTTACTAAAGAGTACATGCTTTGAATGCACATTCTATCCCTAAATTCCATCACTTTGAAGAATCCAAGATTTGAGAAAGACCACTGCTAGGGAGTGAAAAAGCTTGGGAAGCCATTGCTAGACAAACTAGACAACACTGGATTCATGGACCAACACTGAACTCAGTACAAGATCCTGTATTTTAATATCTATTTTTATTCAGGAAATGATCTAGCTATAGAATAAAATGCAAAGCTAATTACTATGAGATCTCTTAAAGGAACAGTGTTATAGCCACTCCACCCTAGCTAACACAATTCTACTGGATGGCTCAATGGCTCATATAGCAGGAAAAATGGAAAAGGAGGATGAAGAGTAATGAACTGTCTCCATTACTCCTCCCACACTGCTGGTATACCCTGCTGGGTAGAAAAGTCAAGAAAGATCCAATAAGCTGCTGAACATGTTCAAAATAGAAAATACACAGAGTATAAAATATAAGAAACAACATGAAGCCAAATAAGATTTGGTTTATATTTAAAATGTAAGATGGCATATCTTTGATTGATCAAACCGCTTGGAAGACTTGAGTTATATCAAATATTTGTTGTACAGTTTATAGAGGGAACAGAAGCAGATAGTTCTCAATATTCACTAATAAAAACTTAAGCTTTATAAACTGTGAATAAAAAGAAGAGGAAAAGTGTGGATTCACACATTGCTCTAAGCCACCTTGAGAACAAGCTATGCAGTGTGGGTTGATTGCAACAGGTGCCTGGGCTCCCCATAGGTGGTTGTTCTCTTCTCTTAATCCTCCAGCTAGCACTCAGTGTTCTTCATGGCAGGATTCACTTGCTGCCATTTTAATTTTATTTTTAGTTCATCACTTAAAACACAAATATTTACATTAAGAAGTAATATTGTTGCCATGCCCATTTAATGAACCTGCTTTCACCATTTTCCCCTTTACTTTTCAATTAAAAGCTAAGCAATTGACAACAGTTTTACCTTGTCGGTCTGTCACCTATTCCATTTCCCTTTGAAAACTGGAACTTACAAGGCCCCAGAGAAGATAAATCTGCTTATAACATTCAGCTTGGAAGTGCACACTTTGTGCACCTGCAAAAGACAAACATAAAAAATGTTTAACAAAACTACTCAATTTTCTGGGATTAAAAAAGGAAGTGATGAACCAGAGATGGGCACCCAAAATCCCTCTTTGCCTTGGGTGAGAGGTCCTCACTGTTCATGGCACTAGTGAGATCATAAGCAGCAGCATTGAGATTCACTCTAGAATCACTCTGTCAAGTCCAGACAACATAAAAGTCATGGGTTTTCAGGGTAGCTTGTCCTAATTAAGTGCAGAAAGTGGTTTGGGTTTGGACAACACAACAAATGGACTGTGTTATGAGCCTTTATTGCCGTGTTAAGTCTAGAGCAAAACTTCTCTCAAAAATATATTCAGACACAGCAAGACCAGAAACAATTGATGTTTTTAGAACATTTGCGCATCTACTAGCAGAACTCACAATGAGGATTTTTCAGTCCCAAAGCTAGACAAATAAGTATGTATAAGGAATTACAGTTTGCTGTACTGTACCTTTAAAAGTATCTACCAACCCTCCTTTTTTTTGAACAGTCACAACATTGATAAATGTGCCTCAGAAATTAGCACCTATAAAGAAATATATCACAAAATTCAGTATATTCTGAAATATTGCAAACTACATTGCAAAAATGTCTTAAACATTGAAGGGGTGTGTTTCAATTCCTCACCCATATACCAAAAACATAATTTTTGAACTCCCCATAAAATATATGAGGAGTATCTGATGACATTTGGCACTGGTGGAAAAAAAGGAGGGGTGAGTTGGAGAAGGAAAACCTGACACATGAACACATACTTTACAGGTTTTGCCACATCATGCAGCAACTTGATGCATGAGGACCCAACTGAAACACTGCACAACAGATGATTTATTTAGAAAAAGATAACCTGCACTAACTTATTTGGGCCAGTCATCAGATATTCCTAATTAAATGCTTGGACAGATTATATATTGTCAGTTTATATCACCTTAAAAGACTATTGTGTAAAATTTATTTGTTTTATCAAAATACATGCATGGCAAATCCAAGGATATGTGGCATAAGAATAGAAACAGCCAGTAAGCACTGTGTAAAACAATGCTAGACAAAAGACTGATGTGGTGGTGGGGTGCAGGGGGGAGAATCAAACTATACAATAGCTGTTACTGGGAGTACTGATTAGAACACAGAGAGGCCACAGAGTATCATTAGGAATGCATTTTGCTTTCATTGCTTCAAGGGGAATTGCACACAAGAGCGGGGGCGGGGAAGGAATTTGCTATTAATCATATTAAATTCATTGTTCCTTCAATGCTGCTGGCTAGGCTACACCAGGATCTGCTTCTGAATTCCTACAATAAACTGCAGCAAAGAGAAAATTAGCACTTTACAGTGCAACACCTTTACTAGTACTATACTTTAAAACTTACTACTGCAACAAGCCTATACATACTTACCTGGGAATACACCCCATGTAATTCAATGGGGTTTATTTTTGAATAGACCTGTATAGGACTGCACCATAAATAACTGCTACTGTAAGGGTGTAAAAACAAAACATCTCTGAAAAACTGATAGTATATTAGGATTATTTTATATACTCAATATCTAGAGGCATGTCTTCAATTAACACACTAGGCTTCAACCTCCTCCTTGGTGGGAGTGGGGGGGTTAAGAGGGAAGAGCTCAGCCATCAACAGCAACCCCAATTTAACTGAAGATGCCTAAAATGTTCAGAATTTCAATTACGTGATTGGAATACTAAGCTAAACATCTCCATTTATGGTAGAAGGCAGTCAGCTGATACTGTGGAATAGCTAATGAGGTAATCTTTTATCAGAGATGAGAATTCTTGAAAAAACAAATCCATGCCTAGATACTTAATCTGTTTGAATCTTATTTCAAATGTTTATAGGAAAATGTTCTACCATGTATATCTAATATGTGAAAAAAATGAATTTAAAGGAAATGTCACCAAAACTTATTTGCTAAATTATATGTAATTAAAATGTTTGCCTTATTAGCATGAAATAGTGTATGAACTGTGAAAGTACTTAATGATCAAAGCCTACAGCAAACAATTTATATATGCTGCCCCAAAATGAAATCCTACAGTCACACAGTTGACAGCAAACTCTACAGAAAAACAGTAGTAGTCTACCAATAAAATATGCTTAGATTTGGGATGCAACAAGCTGATTTAGCAGAAATTAGCTTTTGCAAGCTCAAATGCTACATGTTCAGAAAGAACAATCTAACACTTCTGCTCTAACTTCCATGAAACAAATGAGAGCTGAATGTGAGGATAACTGTGTCCATCTTCCATTGCAAAGAAGTTCAAGATAGAACTATATTCGAATTCTTCTCCACCTCAACCCCAAATGAATTGAGGCAAATTATAGCTGTAAGAGTCAGCTTAAATGGACTGCAGCTACATCTTCTTTGTGAAAAACCAGCAATCCAGGAAAAGTGGATTTTTTATTATTAGCTGCAGGTCCTACTGGCTTTTAGTGCACCATTAAAATATTCTACAGTCCTTCCAAAAAATATTATTTCCTAAACCAAAATAGTCCAATGTTTTGAGATGCAAGTGTCCATTTGATGAGTCATCTCAAATTGTCAGGTTTATAACTACCATCATCTGTATCCATTTATGATTTCTGTACATAAACAGAAGCCATTAGATAAAGAGGGAAAGAATCCTACTCATTTGGCTGTTGGAATTTGTTTTGTTTTGTTTTAATTGCTGGTGTTGCTAAGTAGGGAAAAATGCCAACTTGGCTGTTACTGGAGCATGTAAGCTACTTGCTTGTGCTTGTTCATTTATTCCCCACACTCCAAAAGGTTGCATGCAATGCTGCACGATCTCACAGGAAAGGAGGCAAAAATACAGGAAAGGAGGCAACCCCTCAAAAAAACAAAAAACACAAACCCACCCTATTTCTGCCCACCCACCCTCTTTCTCAGCAACTGGTAGGCTTTCCACAAGAACTGCTATGGGGTCAAAAGTTCACTGTGGTTTCAATTTCACCTTTTAGCAACCAATCAGAAAACAACAACTGTAGATGGAACCTTCAGCTGTAAAGGAAAAGTTAACTCATGAGTACCAGACTTCACAGCAGGATAACTGTTTACTGTTATGAAATGAGCATGAATTCAGCACTTTGTCAACTGAGTGTTTACTTAAATCACCGCATGAAAAAGAGAGAGAAAGAGCACACTCCACAACACATGCATTACATTGATTTCCAAAAAACAAAAGCTGAGGAAATAAGATTTAACTACTGCAGTACCATAGTTCATCCTTACTGTCAGAAATCCTCGCATTGAACTAGTTTGTTGCTTTCAGCATCTAGCTAAAGGAACAAATTTGCAAACAAATATCCTTCCCACTCACATTATTTACTAGCAAACATTTCTAAAAGCTTTTAGAAAATAGTATTATTGACAAAGGAAATGCTGGACTTTTTCACTTCACCTCCCCCACCCCCAAAGGAATTCTGCAGAATGCAAATACTAGCTCACTACTTTGAGATTTTATTTGGCCCTGCTAAAAATACTATTGCTGTTCGGTTACTTTCTTGTAATGCAATATAGCTGGCTGCAATTGTTTTTAAGTTTCTTAGTTGTGCCAGTAGAATTATGTAGATCTTTTGTGATATCTGAATTACTGAAACTTCTCCCTCAAAATTTCTATGCACTTCTAAATCTCTAGAAAGCTAAAATATTAAAGAAGTTGAACATCAGGTCCTTAAGTCCATCCTTCTTTGCTATACTGTGCTGAATCCAAATCTTGAGTCCCAGTCTAACATTTCAACTACTACAGGACACTGGTAGCAGAATACCTGCTGTTCTTTCAATCTCACTCTCACCACCACAATGACGATCCTTTCACCGATGCCCATGCAAAACTTTTGAGCAACTCTAAGTGGTTTGGTGCACTTTTTAAAACAGAAAACAACCCTGTCACAGAAAATTGCACAATTTGGGTCTCCATATTTGTGGTGGCACTGGTCTTTCGCAGGTGTACAAATGCACTCTTACAGCACTCTGATATGTGTAGTCTTGCCCAGTCAATATCCTTTGAATAGCTGAATGCAACAGCAAAGTGAAGCAGTGTGACATGCACACTGAGTTGTCAACAGAAAACATGGGTAAAAGCAGCAAATGCTTGAACCAAACATGGACGGGATGAGAAGAGTGTTTCCTACTTAGTAATGGAACCCGCTCAATTTTAAATGTTGAACTGATGCTTCCCATTGTCCTCCACTATTCTGAGTCTCTAAGTAGTCCAGAAAGAGAAGATAGTGGTTACTGCCCCTTTTTTGGAGCACATACTGCTCTGCCTATTTTAGTTCTCTAATAGTTCTACTAAAAGGCCCTGAGAAGGCAGCTGAATGGGAGGAACTGAACCATGAAGTAGAATTGAACCCTAGTACAAGTACTGCTGGTACTGGTGCTACATTCATTCTGTCCTGTTCTTTCTTTAACCATCAGGAAAGTAGGAGCATTTTTTGAGTGGGAAAGATAATTTAATGGCATGCAAGTAAATGGAGAAAACTGAACCAGTTTAAGGAAAAAGTGTTAAATGGAGAGGAAATTTGCACACTTGCAGTAATAGAGCACTTCATGCAGGTGAGCAAATTTCCATTTATTTCTCAGACTTTAAATTAGGAAAGTTTTCCCCTTCATTTACTTCCTAGTCATTAAATTTTTTTTGGGGGGGGGGATTCCCAGTGGCTCACAGTAACCACAGCAGGAAGTACTCTGAATATCAGCCACAAAAAGTGGGGGGAGGGGAAGATAATTGCCACTTTCAGGAGCAGCTGGCTACTTGTTGAAAAGGTGGAAGGCACTGAGAAGCATTAGTTCAATATTTGATTGTAATTAACAAATTACATTTGTTAATGTAAAATCAAGAGGATTACATTACTAAAGGAGAGATGCTGTCACATTCTCCCCCCCCCCCGCCCCCCATATTTGGTGCACCTTCTTTTGCCACTTTTTCCCCTTCTACTGGTGCATTTCAA